TTTTTTTCCTATCTCCTTTTTATAGTGCCCGAAAGGCAGTAGATGAGGAAGAGGAAGCTGCTGAAGAACGTCGGAATATGCGAACTATTTGGGTGACTGGCAAAAAAGGTTTAACTGAAAGGGAAGCAGCAGCCCTTATAGTGGAAGAAGCCAGAATGATTCTGCAGCAGGACTTAGTTGAAATGGGAGTGCAATGGAATCCATATTCCCTTTTAAATTCTAGCACGCATTCATTGACCAGTAGTGAGTCAGAAGTGAAGGAACATACTTTTATACCCCAAACTAAGAGATCTCGTAAAAGATTAACATCAAAGAGCAAAAGTAACATGATAGTTAGTGATTCTTATGTTAAGCATTCACCAAATACAGTACAAGATTTAGATAAAAGTAGAGAGCACATAAGTTCTTTTTATTGTACATTCCAGGATAGGAATCAAGAACGTCAGAGACATTCGATCTTCAGAGCAAGAAAACAGGCTTCCTTGGACTTAAATAAAGACAAGACAAGAACCTCTCTGAATGATGGAAAAACAAGCACTAAGAAAGTTGTTCAGACTTTCTCATTTGAGAAAACAAAGATGGCAGCTTTGAATTTCAGTTCAGAAAAGATGAGCACATCTTTTCAATCTTGGAAACATAATAAGCATCTGAAACAAACTAGGGACAGTAGCCCTCTGAAAGACTCTGGAATGTATAGAATTGACTTACAAGGACAGACTAGTCCTATTCTTTGTGAAGACTCATTTACCTTAGATGAGAAGAATATGGAATTTAGAAGTCCAGGGCCATTTGCTAAAAATGTATCCTTTTGTGCTGAGGAAAAATGTAACAAAACATTATTCCCATTACAAATAAAGCAAAGTTGTTCAAGGAACAGAACAATAACTAATGATACTCTTGTGGAACATTGTATCACAGGATCCCAGAGTAAAAACATGGATTGTCAAGCCACTAGGGCGGTTAGTGAAAATGGAAGAGGATTAGGTGTTGTTGAGACAGAAAAAATAAATGAAGTGCTGCTACAAAATGATTCAGAAAACCAGAATGTTTATGTGAAACACCATGACACTTATCCAATTAACCACTGCCCAGAAAAGCAATCTAATAAACAGACAAACACTTATACCAAACAGAAAAACATAGTAGAGAGACAAATGCCCTGTGAGGCAGTCAGTAGTTATATGAATAGAGACTCAAATGTTACGACTATTGAATGTGAAAGTATAAAGTTTAATACTGAGGAAAAGAAACTAAATCATTTTCAGACATTAGGAGATAATATAAACAAAACTGAGATACCCAGTGAAATACTTGTGTCAACTGGAACATTTGGTAAATTAGGAGGCCAGCATGAGAATTTTCTAAATACCTCTAGAATACGAGGAAAAACAGACCCTTATGCAACAAACAAAACTAATCATGTTTCTGACTTAGGGTTAGTCCTCTGTGATTTTGAAGATAGTTTCTACCTGGATACTCAGTCAGAGAAAATAATACAACAGATGGCAACTGAAAATGCCAAACAAGGAGCAAAAGGCACCAACCTGGCAGCAGGGATGATGCAGAAGAGCTTAGACAAACAGAACTTGATTAGCTCTTTTCAGAATGAATTTCATATTACTTTCCCTGGTGAACAGCATTCTCCAGGAAGGACTCATATAGATCATTTGAGCTTTAAGACTGTAGGTACTATGAAACAAAGCACTGATTCTCATGGGGTTGATATCCTGACTCCAGAAAACCCAATTTTTCATTCTCCAATACTATTGGAGGAAAATGCTCTTTGTTTTAAAGGGAATGAACTTTCTGTTACTGACTCCCAATTAAATAGTTTTCTTCAAGATTATCAAACACAAGAAACTGTGAAACCAGTCACACCTCTGCTTCCTCAAAAGAGAACTCCCACTGGTATAGAAGGAAAATGTCTGCCAGTTCATGAAACAAGTCTGAATATGAGTGATAGTTTACTATTTGACAGTTTCAGTGAAGACTACCTAGTAAAAGAACAACCACCTGATATGCAAGCAAAAGAACCCCTTCCTTCTGAAATAACATCAAACCATTTCAGTGATTCTCTGTGTTTACAACAAGAAGGCCCAATTAAACAATCAAATACGAAGAAGAATGAAGATATCCAGCAGCAATTGACTTGTTTCAGTGATGAATCTATTATGTTTTCAGAAATGGATTCTGTTCAGATGGTTGAAGCTTTGGACAGTGTAGGTGTATCTTCTGTCCAAGAGAAACATAATACTGTAGTATCTCTTAAAGCATTAGAACTAAGTGATCCAGTGATTGTAGGTAATGACCACTCCCAAGA